CAAATATGATACTTTAATTCAATAATTCAGATCAATAACCAGGTACTTTATTAATTTAGATGTAATTATCGCCCAGTTATCTCCATTTCCCAACAAGATAACAGGGTACAGAGGTATTTTCAGACCCAATAATAACAGCGTCTGTCTGTGTTTCCATAAAGAACACGTTAATAGCTCACTTGGGAAATCGTTCGTGCTAATTGTTTCGTGTTGGGCAATGTTTATATAGTTTTTGTATTTATAGAGAGAAAAATGTGTTTACATTTGATTATTGGAACAGTGAATAATTGTTGTGTCTATGTTGGCGGGTCATAATGTTCGCCAGAGCTGGAAGGTTGGCGGGTTATAATGTTCGCCAGAGCTGGAAGGTTGGCGGGTTATAATGTTCGCCAGAGCTGGAAGGTTGGCGGGTTATAATGTTCGCCAGAGCTGGAAGGTTGGCGGGTTATAATGTTCGCCAGAGCTGGAAGGTTGGCGGGTTATAATGTTCGCCAGAGCTGGAAGGTTGGCGGGTCATTATTTTCGCCGGAGCTGGTAGATTAAACAACCGATAGTTGCAAAGTTGGGGTCCAAGAGCTAACACCTCGATCCAGCAAGTACACATAGTAAATATATAGAGAGACCAGATAACTATAGAGAGAGAGAGAGAGAGAGAGAGAGAGAGAGAGAGAGAGAGAGAGAGAGAGAGAGAGAGAGAGAGAGAGAGAGAGAGAGAGAGAGAGAGAGAGAGAGAGAGAGAGAGAGAGAGAGAGAGAGAGAGAGAGAGAGAGAGAGAGAGAGAGAGAGAGAGAGAGAGAGAGAGAGAGAGAGAGAGAGCACCTCCCCCACAGAGAGGGACAATAACCCAGGCACCACCACGTAGAGGTCAATACACGTGACACCACCAGCACCCATCATGCCTGGTTCAGTCTCCTCTAATTCCCTCAGAAATAGATTATGCAAATTGTGACGTGTTGCATTATAAGAGACGGCGGCCTTGGCGTTAAGTATTGCTACTTACTGCTCCCTCAAGTTGCTGTCTTCTGATGTGTTGCTTCTTACGTGTGTGTGTGTGTGTGTGTGTGTGTGTGTGTGTGTGTGTGTGTGTGTGTGTGTGTGTGTGTGTGTGTGTGTGTGTGTGTGTGTGTGTGTGTGTTGTATGTGTGTGTGTGTGTGTGTGTGTGTGTGTGTGTGTGTGTGTGTGTGTGTGTTGTGTGTGTGTGTGTGTTGTGTGTGCGTGTTTGAACATTACGTCTGCTAATATTACGCGATGTTACCTGATATATTCACCAGTGTTACTTAATGTTTATTAGCGTTACTTTATGTGTATGAGATATACTTGCTGATTAATACTTTACCTGACGTTACAAAGTAATACGTTACCTCCTGACATTACCTGATGTCACGTAACTATATTCGCGTCACCAAATGTTACATACAACTCAACATTACGGAACGTTCCGTAACTCGTCAGCCCGTAACAAGATAACACCTTATGTATTAAACTATAAAATACACATTCCTTTCATACTGTAATGTGCGTGTATTACTAGGATTAAGAGGCCTTAGTGTGCATAAATCTGACAGATTATGATGTATAGGGATTAATATATATGTGTAAAGGATTAATCTTGGGTAGGATTAATAGGTGTTCATCGTAGTTAGTGAAGAAAAGATTGAGTGGGTTATCGTCTCTCTGTTATCTGAACGCCATTTGATGTCTTTATTCACGTTATTCATCGATGAATAAGTGTGATGAAATGTGGCTGTGATATTAAGGCTTTATGGACTATGTATAGACCTTAATGGCAGGTGGTGAGTCGCAGCTGGTGCTGGGAGGTGGTGAGTCACAGCTGGTGCTGGGAGGTGGTGGTGAGTCGCAGCTGGTGCTGGGAGGTGGTGGTGAGTCGCAGCTGGTGCTGGGAGGTGGTGGTGAGTCACAGCTGGTGCTGGGAGGTGGTGGTGAGTCACAGCTGGTGCTGGGAGGTGGTGAGTCGCAGCTGGTGCTGGGAGGTGGTGGTGAGTCACAGCTGGTGCTGGGAGGTGGTGAGTCACAGCTGGTGCTGGGAGGTGGTGAGTCACAGCTGGTGCTGGGAGGTGGTGAGTCACAGCTGGTGCTGGGAGGTGGTGAGTCACAGCTGGTGCTGGGAGGTGGTGGTGAGTCACAGCTGGTGCTGGGAGGTGGTGGTGAGTCACAGCTGGTGCTGGGAGGTGGTGGTGAGTCACAGCTGGTGCTGGCAGGTGGAGAGTCACAGCTGGTGCTGGGAGGTGGTGAGTCACAGCTGGTGCTGGGAGGTGGTGAGTCACAGCTGGTGCTGGGAGGTGGTGGTGAGTCACAGCTGGTGCTGGGAGGTGGTGGTGAGTCACAGCTGGTGCTGGGAGGTGGTGAGTCACAGCTGGTGCTGGGAGGTGGTGGTGAGTCACAGCTGGTGCTGGGAGGTGGTGAGTCACAGCTGGTGCTGGGAGGTGGTGGTGAGTCACAGCTGGTGCTGGGAGGTGGTGGTGAGTCACAGCTGGTGCTGGGAGGTGGTGAGTCACAGCTGGTGCTGGGAGGTGGTGGTGAGTCACAGCTGGTGCTGGGAGGTGGTGAGTCACAGCTGGTGCTGGGAGGTGGTGGTGAGTCACAGCTGGTGCTGGGAGGTGGTGGTGAGTCACAGCTGGTGCTGGGAGGTGGTGGTGAGTCACAGCTGGTGCTGGGAGGTGGTGGTGAGTCACAGCTGGTGCTGGGAGGTGGTGGTGAGTCACAGCTGGTGCTGGCAGGTGGAGAGTCACAGCTGGTGCTGGGAGGTGGTGAGTCACAGCTGGTGCTGGGAGGTGGTGAGTCACAGCTGGTGCTGGGAGGTGGTGAGTCACAGCTGGTGCTGGGAGGTGGTGGTGAGTCACAGCTGGTGCTGGGAGGTGGTGGTGAGTCACAGCTGGTGCTGGGAGGTGGTGGTGAGTCACAGCTGGTGCTGGGAGGTGGTGGTGAGTCACAGCTGGTGCTGGGAGGTGGTGAGTCACAGCTGGTGCTGGGAGGTGGTGGTGAGTCACAGCTGGTGCTGGGAGGTGGTGGTGAGTCACAGCTGGTGCTGGGAGGTGGTGAGTCACAGCTGGTGCTGGGAGGTGGTGGTGAGTCACAGCTGGTGCTGGGAGGTGGTGGTGAGTCACAGCTGGTGCTGGGAGGTGGGAGTCACAGCTGGTGCTGGGAGGTGGTGGTGAGTCACAGCTGGTGCTGGGAGGTGGTGGTGAGTCACAGCTGGTGCTGGGAGGTGGTGGTGAGTCACAGCTGGTGCTGGGAGGTGGTGAGTCACAGCTGGTGCTGGGAGGTGGTGGTGAGTCACAGCTGGTGCTGGGAGGTGGTGAGTCACAGCTGGTGCTGGGAGGTGGTGGTGAGTCACAGCTGGTGCTGGGAGGTGGTGGTGAGTCACAGCTGGTGCTGGGAGGTGGTGGTGAGTCACAGCTGGTGCTGGGAGGTGGTGAGTCACAGCTGGTGCTGGGAGGTGGTGGTGAGTCACAGCTGGTGCTGGGAGGTGGTGGTGAGTGGTGTCACAGCTGGTGCTGGGAGGTGGTGGTGAGTCGTCACAGCTGGTGCTGGGAGGTGGTGGTGAGTCGCAGCTGGTGCTGGGAGGTGGTGGTGAGTCGCAGCTGGTGCTGGGAGGTGGTGGTGAGTCGCAGCTGGTGCTGGGAGGTGGTGGTGAGTCGCAGCTGGTGCTGGGAGGAGGTGGTGAGTCACAGCTGGTGCTGGGAGGAGGTGGAGAGTCACAGCTGGTGCTGGGAGGTGGTGGTGAGTCACAGATGGTGTTGGGAGGTGGTGGAGAGTCACAGCTGGTGCTGGGAGGAGGTGGTGAGTCACAGCTGGTGCTGGGAGGAGGTGGTGAGTCACAGCTGGTGCTGGGAGGAGGTGGTGAGTCACAGCTGGTGCTGGGAGGAGGTGGAGAGTCACAGCTGGTGCTGGGAGGTGGAGAGGGGGGGAGGCTGGTATCGATTCGTCGCTTCCCATGTGTCCTTGGGTACACACACACACACACACACACACACACACACACACACACACACACACACACACACACACACACACACACACACACACACAGTTCAACCCGAGTAAATGCAAAGTAATGAAACTAGGCAGTGGAAACAGGAGGCCAGACACAGGATACAGAATAGGAGATGAAACGGACAGAGAGAAAGATCTAGGAGTTGATATCACACCAAACCTGTCTCCTGAAGCCCACATAAAGAGAATAACGTCTGCGGCATATGCGAGGCTGGCTAACATCAGAACGGCGTTCAGGAACCTGTGTAAGGAATCATTCAGAATCTTGTACACCACATATGTAAGACCAATCCTGGAGTATGCGGCCCCAGCATGGAGCCCGTACCTTGTCAAGCACAAGACGAAGCTGGAAAAAGTTCAGAGATATACCACTAGACTAGTCCCTGAGCTAAGAGGCATGAGTTACGAGGAAAGGCTGCATGAAATGCACCTCATGACACTGGATGACAGAAGAGTAAGGGGAGACATGATCACTACCTACAAAATTATCAGAGGAATTGTCAGGGTAGATAAAGATAAACTGTTTAACACGGGTGGTACGCGAAGGAGGAGACACAGGTGGAAACTGAGTACCCAAATGAACCACAGGGACGTCAGAAAGAACTTTTTCAGTGTCAGAGTAGTTAACAGACGGAATGCATTAGGCAGTGATGTGGTGGAGGCAGGCTCCATACACAGTTTCAAATGTAGATATGATAGAGCCCAGTAGGCTCAGGAATCTGTACACCAGTTGATTGACAGTTGAGAGACGGGACCAAAGAGCCAAAGCTCAACCCCCGCAAGCACAAATAGGTGAGTACACACACACACACACACACACGTAAGAAGATATTACAAACGTAAAGTCAACAAAGTTATCTTTATGGCTTGTAAAAAACAAAAAAAATGCTGATTTTCATCAATCTTTATTTTTCATTAAAAAATTGTGTTATGTATTTTACTGGGAAGAAATAAGCAAAAAGACCCAAATTCTTAAGTGATTTACGAGATCTTTCACTCCTAATATCTCTTTCGTCTCAAAAAATTCTTCGAACCGACAACGAATGAGAAAAAAATCGTGGTTGAATATGTCTTTAATGCCAACCATCGTTAGTTCTCCAGATTGTCTGTGGTTAACACAAGCGCCAGGTCCCCCCACCACCACCACACCACCACACACATTCCATGCCTTTGATAAATATATAATTCCCCTAGAGATACACCTGCGCGGGCCCTGAGCCACAGGCTGGCCAGGTGTGGGACAGTGGTGGCACTCTCCCCCAGGCAGCTGCAACATTGCCTAACACACTGCACAGTTGCAAACCTTCTAAGATTTCAACTGAGGTTTCAACTGCTGAGTTGTGTAGAGTCTAACTCTTCTGGTTAGGAAAATTAAGTGTTGGGAGTTGGTAATGTAACAGAGCATAATGGTATTGTTATGACTCGAAACTGAGTCTGATGATAGCTTAGGGATGGTGGTGGTGGTGGTGGTTGTGGTGGTAGTGGTGGTTTAATTACGGCGCGTGTTGTGTGGGGAGGGGTTGTGGGGTTGTGGGGTTGGGGGGGAGGCATGTGGAGCTCGCGTCTCTCCAGGTCAATATCTCTCTCTCTTTCTCTCTCTCTCTCTCTCTCTCTCTCTCTCTCTCTCTCTCTCTCTCTCTCTCTCTCTCTCTCTCTCTCTCTCTCTCTCTCTCTCTCTCTCTCTCACACACACACACACATACACGTGTGTGTGTGTGTGTGCTGCCAATGTCTTCGAGGTTATGATCTCTGTGTATTTGTTTCTGTGTGTATTTGGTTGTGTTTATGTTCGTGTTTGTGCGTGCACCTCTTGTAGAATATTGATGCATTCTGTGTTCGTGGCACAGTGTTGTGTGGGTGTGTGAAGGTTGTGGATCACTTGTTCACCTTCACGACTCCCACGAAGCAAGACTTAAGAACATAACATAAGAACATAAGAACAAAGGTAACTGCAGAAGGCCTATTGGCCCATACGAGGCAGCTCCTATCTATAACCACCCAATCCCACTCATATACTTGTCCAACCCGCGCTTGAAACAATCGAGGGACCCCACATCCACCACGTTACGCGGCAATTGGTTCCACAAATCAACAACACTGTTACTGAACCAGATGACTTGTAGATGTTTACCTCATCCAAGGAAATCCCTTCAAAGACCCAGTTTCTTTTGACCAGCAGTGCCACGCATCCTCTCCTCTGTAGTCTTTCATCTCTCATTACTATTCTCACGGGGGATATTTTGTAATTATACCTGTTAATTTAGTCTCCACTATTGCTATCACATCATGATATGTTTTTTTAAGTTTTTCTTTAAGTTGTACCTGTATTGGTGTACCAGACCTGTGAAGTGTTCAGCGTTACTCTGTTCCTCTGGATGAAGCGTGTGATATTGGGGATGGGGTGGGGTGAATTGGTAGGGAAGTGTAGGGGAAGAGGGTGGTAGTGGGGTGGTGGGGAGGGCAGGGGCTGTGTCTCTACGGTCAGCAAGAGGGGGGGGAAAGGAGGGTGAGGTGGGGTTGGAATTGTCAGGCTTAGTGAGTGTGAGAGTGATGGCCCTCTGAGGTGAATGTGGGAGAAGCTGTTTGGGTAGCTAGTTGATGGTGGTGTGTGTGTGTGTGTGTGTGTGTGTGTGTGTGTGTGTGTGTGTGTGTGTGTGTGTGTGTGTGTGTGTCTGTGTCTGTGTCTGTGTGTGTGTGTGTGTGTGTACTCGCCTATTTGTTCTCATCTGTTCGTCCCTGAAGGATCGAGTTTTAGCTCTTGGACTCTGCTTTTCTAGCCACCGGTCTTCTAATGTAGTGACTCCCAACTTTATCATTATTATCAACCGCTACTATTCTACTATTACAATACTATTCCCTCTCTACTTTTCTCATTTTCACCACCTTACACTTGCATCTACGTCGGTTCTCCTCTGTCCTTCTTTCTCTATTATTTTGTTCCTTTCTTCCTTACTGCTTCGAAGCGGAGTGATTGGGAATGAGAGAGCCAAAGAAACAAAGACTAGGAAAGGAAAAGTGGAAGTTGGAAAAAAGGAGATAAGTGGGCTAGGGAAATATGTCAATAAAGGGAGGAAGGAAAGTTCGCCAAGGAAGGAAGGAAGGAAAGTTCGCCAAGGAAGGAAGGCAGGAAAGTTCCCCAAGGAAGGGAGGAGGAAAGTTCCCCAAGGGAGGAAGGAAGGAAAGTTCCCCAAGGAAGGAAGGAAAGTTTCCCAAGGGAGGAAGGAAGGAAAGTTCCCCAAGAAAGGGAGGAGGAAAGTTCCCCAAGGGAGGAAGGAAGGAAAGTTCCCCAAGGAAGGAAGGAAGGAAGGAAAGTTCCCCAAGGGAGGAAGGAAGGAAAGTTCCCCAAGGGAGGAAGGAAGGAAAGTTCCCCAAGGGAGGAAGGAAGGAAAGTTCCCCAAGGGAGGAAGGAAGGAAAGTTCGCCAAGGAAGGAAGGAAGGAAAGTTCGCCAAGGAAGGAAGGAAGGAAAGTTCGCCAAGGAAGGGAGGAAGGAAAGTTGGCCAAGGAAGGGAGGAAGGAAAGTTCGCCAAGGAAGGGAGGAAGGAAAAGTTCACAAGAAAGTTGGCCAAGAAGGTTGCGGTGATGGACGTGGCAGAGCTGACTGTGATGGAAGGCCGCAGAGTTTCCATTACCATCACACGAAAAATACCGACATTAAAAAAAAATGTTCTAAACTCTCTTTTTGAAAGCTAAACAATTTTTTTTCTAACACCAAAAAAACATCTAAAGCTTTCCCGCTCCATCAAAACACACATCTCCCCTTTCCCCTGACTGGAAAAAAAAAATCTTGTTTCCCCGGTCCTTGGAAAAACAAAGTCACGTGTAAAATAAAATAAAAAAGTATGTCCTCTCACTGTATTCGTGGAAAACAGAATTGGTGACCCCCCCCCCCCCCACAGCCAATCCCCCCCAAGCACTCAGCTGGTACCAAGAAGACTGCACTTCACCTGGCATTTATTGTGTGAGCTAGACCAAGCGTGATACCGTTGTTGGTTGTGTTTACATGATCAGCTGTGTGGGTAGACTCGTTCTCCTGCGTGCAGGTTGAGCCTCAGGTGGAGCCAGGCGATGACGTGAGGTTGTGTTTACATGATCAGCTGTGTTGGTAGACTCGTTTTTCTGCGTGCAAGTTGAGCCTCAGGTGACGTGAGGTTATGTTTACATGATCAGCTGTGTTGGTAGACTCGTTCTCCTGCGTGCAAGTTGAACCTCAGGTGAAGCCAGGCGATGACGTGAGGTTATGTTTACATGATCAGCTGTGTTGGTAGACTCGTTCTTCTGCGTGCAAGTTGAGCCTCAGGTGAAACCAGGCGATGACGTGAGGTTATGTTTGCATGATCAGCTGTGTGGGTAGACTCGTTCTTCTGCGTGCAGGTTGAGCCTCAGGTGGAGCCAGGCGATGACGTGAGGTTGTGTTTACATGATCAGCTGTGTGGGTAGACTCGTTCTCCTGCGTGCAGGTGAGCCTCAGGTGGAGCCAGGCGATGACGTGAGGTTGTGTTTACATGATCAGCTGTGTTGGTAGACTCGTTCTCCTGCGTGCAGGTTGAGCCTCAGGTGGAGCCAGGCGATGACGTGTAGTGGTGGCTGAAGGCCATGTGGGACGTGGCTAATGTGATGATAACTATTTACGATAAGAGTAACAACAGCCATATTAATAATTCTAATACTTCTATTATTACTATTAATATCACTGTTACTTGCATTACTATTACTAATACTAATAAGGATTAATTGAAGAATTTAATCAATTATTTGTAAGCATGAAGCGAGCCCGTCGCTCTACCGTCCAGCCCAAGTGACTGGACCTCGTAAAAGGCTGGATAAAGGGATCACATTGAGAATATTGCAGCACCTGGAAAGGATAAACTTTGCAAGGAAGAGCAACATGGATTTCAAGGGACAACGATGGCTGACACACTGACCGTCTTCTATGACAACATTACTAAAGTGACAGGAAAAAGAAAGCTGGATGGTCTGTATCTTCCTAGATTGTTGAGAGCATTTGATTCTGTACCTCGTGAAAGCTTTTGTGCAATCGCCGCTGCCATCACCACCACCACCACCACCATGAGCATCACCACCAGCAACACCACCAGCATCACCACCAGCAACACCACCAGCAACACCACCAGCAACACCACCCTCAACACTACCAACACCAACCACCCACTACGGTGTTTCTGCAGTCGCACTTCGTGCAGGGAGGGTGTGGCTCTGAAGCGTTGTGGGGTGGTAAGGTGGGGGTGAGGGTGAGGGTGCGGGGGAGGGTGCGGGTGAGGGTGGCGGGTGAGGGTGAGGGGGAGAGTGAGGGTGAAGAGAGGGAGCACTAGACATGATAGAACATATGATACACATGCAGCCAAAGACTGGTAGGTGGTAAGAGACATAGAGATATTCCCTGACAACACCTCATGTTTCAACAGAAAACGTCACAAAGCAGAAATTGAAATCAAGATTGCATGGAAGAAATTGAAGCAACAAACGACTAAGAACAGCCGTGACAACTGCCAGTCATATTCGAATGAAAATATGAGCTGGTAAATAATTTGAGAACAACATACCTCTCTCTGCTAAAGAACCTGCCAAGCAGTAACACATCACGCTAGGAAATAACGGTTACCTACGAGGTAATGAGAGTACAGACCAAGGTGGAGACAAACAGAAAATGACAGGGAACTCTGTGAGAAACGCAATGAAGGATTCCAAGAAGTTTTCAAGTGATGACCAGAGCCGGTCGGCCGAGCGGACAGAAAGCTGGGCTTGTGATCCTGTGGTCCCGGGGTCGATCCCGGGCGCCGGCGAGAAACAATGGGCAGAGTTTCTTTCACCCTATGCCCCTGTTATCTAGCAGTAGAATAGGTACCTGGGTGTTAGTCAGCTGTCACGGGCTGCTTCCTGGGGGTGGAGGCCTTGTCGAGGACCGGGCCGCGGGGACACTAAAAGCCCCGAAATCATCTCAAGATAACCTCAAGAAGAGCATCACACACGTTTACATGAGTAGCATATTGGATTAAGTTTTGGCAGAAGAGGAAAGGAAGGGAGTGGACTGCATAGACTTGAACCACCGGAAGGGCTACGAGTCCTGG